CAACACGTATACACTAATCGAAATGGAATGCGAAGACCGCATTTGTAACCTACGACAAAAAATACGTAGGTTAAAAGAAACAGAAAGCGACAATGATAGAAGCACATCAATCAAACTACCACAGGTCCAGATTCCAGTTTTCGGAGGCAATTACGAGGAATGGGCCAATTTCGAAGACATATTTACGCAAATAATTCACAACAACCGACGCTTGTCCGACGTAGAAAAAATGCAGCATCTAAAAACTCACATTAAAGGCGAAGCAGCGCGTGCCATTCAACATTTTCCCATAACAAATGCTAATTACGGAGCAGCATGGGAGCAGCTTAAAAAAAGGTACAATAACAAGAGGTTAATATTAACAAAGTTACTTAATAAAATGATGGAGTTCCCGCCAATTCACCATGAATCCAGAAAACTACAAGAACTCCACGACACCATAAGTGAATGCATGGCTGCAATTGAGCTGATGGGAATAAAAACAGACTCATGGGGTCCAATAATAAGCTGTTTGATCTCGAAAAAATGGGATGCTGAAACAAACAGGTTATATGAGTCTTCTATCAAGGATCCGTTGGTAATTCAATGTTTAGAAGATCAAATCAACTTTTTGCGAAACCGTTTTCAATCCTTAGAGGCAACACCCAGCAGTCCCAGATTGACGGCGACAATTGCAGTACAGAACAAGAGGCAGCAGCCATTTCATGGGCATAAGATCGTGTGCAGTTTTTGCCAAGACCAACATACGATAAGTTATTGCCCAAAGTTCAGGGGCCTGTCAGTGACAGCACGGAGCCAGGCAATAAGAGAAAAAAATTTGTGCATTAATTGCCTATGGCATGATGCAGCTGCAAAATGCACATCAGAAAGAAGATGTGCGGTGTGCTCGAGACGTCATCATACGCTCTTGCACTTTGAAAAGACGGAACAGAAAACCCAATCAAAGGTAGACAACCAAAAAAACAAGGCAAGCAACCACGTGGGGAATCAGAGTCCAATAGTACTACTAGCAACCGCACTCATTAAAGCCAAAACAGTGAGTGGAGGTATAGAGTATGCACGAGTACTCATCGATCAAGGCTCTCAAACATCCTTGATCACGGAAGAAGCAGCAACCCTATTAGCCCTTCCAAGGCAAAAGGTATTCACAGACCTATCAGGTGTTGGAGATGGGGACATAAAAACATCAAGCCAACAAGTAACACTTACGTGTAGCCCAAGATTCCCGAGTACATTTAAGCTGACAACAAATCTCCTAGTGCTACCCAAACTAACAAGGACACTGCCTGAAAAAAGTTTTGATATAGACATGGAACAATGGCAGAACAAAGTATTGGCTGACCCAACGTTCAACAAGATAGGACCCATAGACATTCTCCTAGGAGCTGAAGAAGTGGCCAAAATACTACTGGACGGAGTGCACAAAACAGCAAATGGATTTCTTGGCCAAAACACGGAATTTGGATGGATAGTGTCCGGGGGAAATCCGAGTCAAGAATCTAACATAAAAATAGTCAGCATGACCGCCAGATACGAAGAAGATGAACAACTGAAAAAATTCTGGGAACTTGAAGAAGTGACATCCGACCGCATTCTGAAGGAAGAAGACCAAATAGTAGAAGATCACTTCTCCGAAAATACAAAGAGAAACCAAGATGGAAGATATTTGGTCAGAATACCCTTTAATGAAAAAAAGGACGATTTAGGATCCTCCAGACCTCAAGCTATGGCACGTTTTTTACAACTAGAAAAAAGACTATCAAGAAATGAGTGGCTGAAGAAAGAATATACCAAATGTCTACAAGAATATTTGGATATGGGACAAATGACGAAAGTTTCATCCATAGATGAGGAAAAAGGAAAATATTATCTCCCACATCAAGCCGTCATCAAAGAAACAAGTACCACAAGTAAAGTACGAGTTGTCTTCGACGCGTCCTGTAAGACAACCACTGGGACAAGTTTAAATAATGCGATGCATGTGGGCCCCCGTTTACAAGAAGAGTTAATGGACAGTATTCTAAGATGGAGGACTTATCCGATGGCCATAACTGCTGACATCGAGAAAATGTATCGCCAAATTATATTACATCCAGCAGACACACAGTATCATAGAATTTTATGGCGTTTCAATCCCAACGAGCCGGTGCAAGAGTATAACTTATCCAGAGTCACATTTGGCACAGCGGCAGCGCCCTATCTAGCAGTCAGAGTAATTCAACAATTAGCCAAAGACGAAATGACTGTATCCCAAATCTGCACAATTATTACCCGCAGGAACGTGATGACACCGAAGCGGATAGTCCAAATCCCTGTGTTGTCCAGCTTTACCTTTCCGGTGGTGGCAAACTTGACGTTATTAACGTCAAAATGTCATATTAAACTTCACCACGATTCCGAACAAGAACTGGTACTCAAGCCGTCAGACAACCTTGTAAACATCGACGAATTGATGAAAGAAGAACGAGAGATCCTGGATAGCCTTAATGAAAATAATTGGCATAATGGCCACCATCATTCCGTCATAACAAGCGTGATAACTAGCGCTATAGTGGTCATCCTAATCATAAGTACTTGGTTTGGAATAAAACAAATACAGACAGAAGAAATAGTGACCCTTGAACCACTGTATCCCAAAATCCAGGAGATTCGCGCCACCACTTCATCTACCCACCCTAATCCCTTGCTGGCCCGGCAGGATGTTTAATCTTAAAATTAAACAATAATTATTTAATTGACCTACTTCGGTCATCTAAGCGAACAAACCGCGTCAGCAATAACATAACAAAATACAACCTTCTAACATTAAGATGTTTGTAAAATAAGTATGTAAAATAAAATATCCCATTTATATATAAGGAAACAATTTTATAATTAAAGTCAGTATTAACAAGACTATTGTGTTTTACTCAACTACCCACTAGTTTCCAAGCCTTAACTGGAGCGTGAGGCTGCGCTCCGCTAGTGGGACATTATTACAAAGATTCGGGATCCTAATTAAGATCCGATTCTTTTCACATATGCTACATTTAAATACTCCCGAGCCAAAATAGAAAAATGTGCTGGGGCGCCATCGTGCATATACCAAATACGGTTTCTTAGCAAAACAGGCAAATCTTCTATTAAAAAAGGCAATTCATGTTGAAGAAAATGCCTATATGACTGAGCATTAAGTCGATTAGGCAAAAAGAAAGGACCAATCAAATAATCCCCAATTATACCACCCCATACATTTAACGAGAACTGTTCTTGAAAATGCGTTTCTACAATTTCATGTGGATTTTCTTCAGCCCATATGTGGTTGTTATGAAAATTTATAATTAAGTCTCTAGAAAAGTTGGCTTCGTCGGTAAAAAGGATTTTACAGTCAAAATTAGGGTCTCTTGCTAGCCTGGCAAGGTACCATCGGCAGAAATTAAGCCTTAATGGGAAATCTCGAGGAAGGAGCGCCTGCACCCTTTGAATGTGGTAAGATTATAGCAGAGAATCACGCAGGATACGCCAAACAACTTGATGACTAATGTTGAAATGTTCACTAATTTTTCTAGTGCTAGTATCTGGATGCTCTTCTATTTCATTTAAAACAGCTTCTTCAATCTGTGGTGTTCTTACCGTATATTGTCTACCTGCATCATTGGTATTCTTTTTAAAAGTTCCACTTTCTGCAAGACGCCTATGAATATTTGTGAATGTTCGATGATCGGGTATTATTCTATTATCGGGATAGCGCTCCATGTACAGGCGTGTAGCTTCTCTTGCATTTCCATCCGCAAGGCCATAGATGAAATGCATGTCAGCCATTTCAGAATTCGTATAATTTGGCATTGTTACGGACTGATAAGAAATTTAATTATAACGAGTCTTTTAAATAATTTTACACCTTGCAGTTTAAAACTTTAAATGCCTGCTGTCAATAGCATCGTTTTTATGTACTTTTTTGATGTTGTAGACAGTGTGTTGTCTGTGATGTTGTATCCAATAGCTACATAAACCATTTTATTTCAGATTTGATATTTAATAAGTAGTGGCAGAAATGAATTCAAATCATGTTTAAAAGAGTACACCATTACAACAATTGTTGTAAGGTAATTTTCTAGTTTTTCTAAATATTTAAGTTTTTTGTATTAAAATAAATCATTGTAACCAAAACCGTTTTGTTTCTAATAAGAAGTATAGAAATATTATTTTAAAAATAAATAAAAATAAATTATTAATAAAGCCAACCAGATTATTTTAGAAATTTGAATTTCATCTCGCAAATGACAACAACTTGTGTTATATTTTTTTTCTCGATAATGGTTGCAGATACAAAAAAACTTTAGGTTACTAAAAAGTTTCTAAACAAAACAGAAAACTTATTTTGTATTTTAAAATCTACCAGCAGCGCACCATAAAAAAGTTCTTGGGAAAAAAGGGGAGCATGACATACAAAAAAGTATCGCCCTGTAGATTCTTATAACCATTTGGCATGCCCAATGATGTAAGCCTTATAGCCTAACCTATATTCCGAATTTGGGCCAAATATCTCAAAAACTGCAGAAGATAAGATAAAAACTAAAAAAATCTCCAAACTTTAACACCCTGTAGATCGGTAACGAAGCGTTTGCGGGCCCATGTTTATAGGAACTTTTATTCATAAAATAAGCCAAAGAATCACCCCCTTTTGTTTGTACATGATATTAAGGAACACCCTGTATATACATATATATATATATATATATATATATATATATATATATATATATATTAGGGTGGGTCGAAAAAAGGATTTTTTCGAATATCGAATTCTAATAGTGAGGAAAAGTTGCGTCTTTGCATGCTAATTAATGGAAAAATAATACAAAAAATCATACTTTGAATCTTCAGTTCGCGCAAAGGGCCTAAAGTTTGAAAAAAATGGGGAAAAACATTAAATTTTAAATTTTCCCTCAAAATATACGGGTAAACTTTTTTGGCTTCTAAAAGCATGTAAAAACTTCGTTTTAGTCGAAAACTTATATTTAAAAACTTTGCGCAACTCTTTGACTTACCGCAAAAGGCCTAAAATTAAGGAAAAAATTAGGGTTTCTATCATCTTACTAATAAATGGTATTTTTAATTATAAATTATAGCATAACTTTGCAGCTCTTCACCCATTTCACATTTTTGTATGAAATGACCCAGAACTCACCACGAGGAGGTGGCTGCAATTCGAGTTCCACCCACACCCTTCCCAACCATCCAACCTATAAGATTGTGGTAAATAAGGTTGATTTAGCCAATGCGGTTACCTTAAAATCAGATTTTTGATCAAACTTTGGCATTATTGATCTTGAGAGCAACGTTGTTCTAGTATATCCGTCTCTGTTTTCTTCTCCGCACACTTTTTCTGCAGACTCCGTGACAAGCTTCACGCATCTTTCCACAGATTGGGTGTGACATGGAAAATTTATAAAATCAAAATCAGGCAGAGTTTTGTCTTTTAGAAATGAGGAAATAGTTTCGGTTATTAACCTTTCCAATATTGGAGGCGACGACAGCTTACATTTGGTCCAATCTATTAACTCAGTGTAGTCCGTGGCATCAAAATGTATTAATGGAGTTACAAAGTTTCTAACAGACTTTCCTTTCGGAATTTCAGTTTTTGCCCTTAGAACTCTACTGTAACCCAACTCTCGTATGTGCTCTCTCTCATCGACTATCATAGCCAACAACATGTTCTCTGGGTGACAGAAAAAGGCATTTCTCTGAATTACAGGATCGATGATTTTTTTAATACCATCTGGCAAATATCTCGTTGTTTGAACAACCTTAAAGATATGTTTCGGCCCAGACAGGGGCATATGTCTTAACAATGTAGTTTACCAGAGAACGATGTCCGTCTAGTATTGAAATAGTAAGCAAATAAACCATTGCAATGGGCGCTGAATTTTAACTTCTATATTACATCACAATTTTAACTTCTATATTACATCACAACCGATCGCTTCCAGTTCATTAATGTCAATATCATTATCGTGCAGGTACTTTACGATATATTTGGATAATTCACTACCGGTTGCACTGGAGGGTGTGACATGACCGACATATTGGCCTCCAGGTTCACGAATCAGGCTAATGTGTTCCTCTTTCTTAACTCTTCGGTATAGTTTCGCTCCTATTTTTTGTTGATAGATAGTATTATCTTTTCTACCATCGAAGTATAATCCCTTTGTTACTATAGACGCGTCTTGTCGTATAGCCTGTCGTATCTTCTGCTTTTGTCTTCGTATTTTGCTTTTATCTATTATTTGTGATGTATCTTCTTCAGAAATTATTCCAACATCATGCAAAACACTGGATGCTATAGCTGCAGTAGCTCTGTCAGAAATACCAAATCTATCACTAACTAAAGCCGTAGAGGTTAAATTCAACCTTATTTGAGATGTATAAGGTACTGAAGACAAATCAAATACAGTCCTAATTTCGTTTTGATGTCATTATTAACCAGAACAGGTTTACGCAACAACTGTAATTGCTTTCTTTCCGTTCTTTTTTAAAGTTTCTCTGTTTCTTTTTTATCTAGACCACCTATGACGGCAATCCTAGTTGTACGCTTTCAAATAACTTTGATTTTGCTTCAGCCACGAATCGCTCTATTTTGTCTTTAAAGCCCTCTTTTTTCTGGTCTCGCTTATATGATTTTCTTAAATTATTATATGCATTATGGTAGGCGTTTATCATTTGCACAGCCCGAGTATGAGTTACTACTGGAATGGAGGCTTTACGGTATATTATTTCTATTTGAGTAGCAACATTATCGGCTATTGTAGAAAATGCTACTTTTTTCTTTGAACCCGATAGGATTGAATTTTTATAGCTTTCTTCAAAGCAACTTAGTAATACGTCCTTATATGTCGGTAGGTTTGTTCCGCTTAGTTTTTTAGGCAAACCAAATATTGGAGTTGTCACCTTTTGCTGAGTCAACATCTTATATTTAACCACTAACAAAAAAATCTGAAATATAATTATTATTTATTAGAACAGCGCTGCAACGAGGTGTTATAACGCTTCACGCCAAACAGCTACTGGCCAAAAGTTTTGGCCCAAAACTGCCGACAACAAAAACAAAAGCGAGATCATCCCCTCCCACTCACTAAGTTTATACGTTTTATACCTTTTGCGCGAACTCAAAAAGTCCAACAATGCGTGTATTTGTATATGATAGAAACCCTAATTTTAAACTTAATTTTAGGCCTTTTGCGCAAACTTAAAGAGTTGCGCAGTTTTTAAAAATTATATTTCTGTCAGCAAACAACTAATACAGAGTACTTAGATGCTATTAGAAGCCAAAAAAGTTTACCCGTATATTTTGAGCGTAAATGTAAAATTTGATGTTTTTCCTCATTTCTTCCAAACTTTAGGCCCTTTGCGCGAACTGAATATTCAAAGTATGATTTTTTAAATTATTTTTACATTAATTGGCATGTAAAGACGCAACTTTTCCGCACTATTAGAATTCGATACTCGAAAAAATTCTTTTTTCGACCCACCCTAATATATATATATATATATATATATATATATATATATATATATATATATATATATTTGTTTTACGCATACTCTCTAATTATATTTATTACGTGTTTATATACTCCCATTAAAAATTTCAGCTCATTCTATAAATGGGAACCCGTGCCGACTTGCATCTGAACCCTCCGTTAGCCAACGTTAGGCGCGCGGTATTTTGTAACACGGTTGGTCGCGAGGTCTTCGATTGTAAGTCATTTTGTGTTTGTTATTATGTGACCCTCATATTATAAATTATTGACAAATGTTAAAATATAGTTTTATTTATGTGTATACTTTGATAAAAATGTATATTTTCACAGGGAGTGGCTAGTTACCCGGAAGGGTCTGGTGAATAGGCCGTAAACTCTGAAATTGATAAACTTAATGGGTTTTACTCTAAATAACTAAAAGAGTCTATTGTGAGAGATGACTACCGAAAACTTATTGAACTGTCTGAAATATTTTTGGGAGGACATCAAGAAAAGAAATGCTTATAAAAAGCTGAAATTTTATATAACAGTATATTTTAGCAATACTAATTAGTATATTAATATATTTAAAGGATAAAATCAACTAAATTAGTGAAACAAATGATAGAAACAAAAGCAATAATATTAATTAGTAATCATTAGAAAAATACAGTCATGAAGTATATCTTCTTTTTAAAGTGTTTCGTGTTACAAAATACCGCGCGCGCCTAACGTTGGCTAACGGAGGGTTTAGATGCAAGTCGGCACGGGTTCCCGTTTATAGAATGAGCTGAAATTTTTACTGGGAGTATATAAACAAGTAATAAATATAATTAGAGGGTATGCGTAAAAAAATAAAAATAAGGGACACCCTAATATATATATATATATATATATATATATATATATATATATATATATATACAGGTAAAGAAAGTACATAGTACTTCTTTTTGAATTATTAATTAAGTGTAGAATAAGAGTACACTGTTTAAATAAAGCAGGGAAAAAGTTAACTGACAGAAATTGATTAAACTAAACTATCCTTTTAGTTATTGTAAAAATTAATTAAAAAATAAAAGTAAAAATTAGAGAAATTAGAGAAATCGCATAGTGAATAATGGACATTTAATGCCGTTTCTCTTTTTACAGGTAATATTTGTAACTTGTGTTTATAATTTGTAAATAATAAAATTAAAACTCAAATTTGTTATTATTCATATCTTTGAACTAATCTACAATAAAAAATAAAGAATATTATAAAACGATATTATCGTTTTTTCAACTATGGATAAACTAAGATTTAATTTTGCTCTAAAAGCTGCAAAAGATGGTAAAACCAATAAAATGTTTCTTACCTTAATTGGAACTCAATGAGACAGAAATTTTATAATTCCTGTAGAATACCAAACTTTTCATAATGTACTGGGAAAAAAACAAGCCTATAGTAAGGTCAAAAATAAACTAAAAAAGGCATAAAAGTATGGATTACTTTGATGATTTAAAAAAGATCTATTTAGATGAAGAGGAAAACTTTCTGTTTGTTTTTTACTAAATGGACTGATGATTGTCAAGAATCATTTGACAAAATAAAAGATTTGCTTTGTCGTCAAGCAATTTTGGGAATTTTTGATCCAAAATCACCCATTAATATATACACAGATGCAAGTTTAAAAGGAGTCGGAGCAATTTTAAAACAACTGCAAACAAATGGAGAGGAAAAACCGATAGGTAACATATTTTTCAAAAAAATTGAATGATGCTCAGAAAAAAAGAAAGCTATTTATTAAGAATGCCTAGCCATTAAAGAAGCTGTAAAATATTGGCAATACCGTTTCATAGGGAGAAAATTCACAGTTTTTTCTGACCAAAAACCGTTGGAGAATATTAATATAAAATGTAGAACTGATGAAGAACTGGGAGATTTGACATATTACACTGTAGGTACATTTTCAAATCTTGAAATATCACAGCTAAACGCTCGGACACGTAAACATAATTTTTAGTCGTAGATTCCAAATCCGTGCTCGGTTTAGCTGTATCAGGTCTAAAAAAGTTTTTCCTGTCGGAAGTCCGATCCAGGGACACACTGTATACTGGTATATTATAATTTATAAAATAATATATTTCACCTCTTGTGCCAACATTAATAATATTCTTAATTATACACAATAAAAAAAATTAGCAAAAAACATTTTGAATTTCCTAAATTATCTATAAAACACTCTCAGGGACCCGTGTTCCTTTTGATCAATTAACTTTTACAATAATTTGTTTTTTTTTTAATTGGAACTGATGTGTGGATCCAGCCAAATTATTTTTTTTTAACTTATACAGGGTGTTTAAATTTATACAAGGTGTTTTTAATATCTTTGAATTTTGACCTGATACAGCTAAACCAAGCACGGATTTGTAATCTACGACCAAAAATTAAGTTTACGTGTCCGAGCGTTTAGCTGTGATATTTTCACCTCCCTACAGTGTTATTTGTCTTAATACGCCTCAAAAATAAAATACTATCCAGTTTAATATCTTAGAATCAGAAGCTAATGAAGATGAGAAACTGAAAATCGTAAATTTTATAAATTTAGAAGAAATTATGGAAGATCAAGATAAAAATAAAAAATCACAATTTGAAAAAAGAATGATTAAAAACGACGAAATTTACTATAAAAAATAAAACAAATTATTTTCTCCGAAGAAAGCGCAGAATTTATAAAAAGAATATTGTCATATTGGCATACAACAAATCAAGAATAAAATTAGTCCTTAATATAGGTAAAAATCTAACACTAAACATAATATTTTTAAACATATATTTTCTATATATAGAGAAAATATCTAAAAATTGCATACCTAACATTAAAAAAAATAAGACCGGATGACAAGAAAAGTATGGCTTGTTATCTCATTTGGGACCGGCTGAGGAACCATTTGAAATCATTACAATGGACACAATTGGAGGATTTGGTGGAACAAGATCAACAAAAAGATATCTGCATTTACTTGTTGATCACTTTACGAGATACGCCTGGATATTAACATCAAAAACTCAAAGTGCCAATGATTTTATTAAGTCAGTGGAAAAAGCTACAAGGCATAATAAAATCGGTATGGCACTATCAGATCAATACCCAGGTATAAACACGAAATAGTTTAAAAAGTATCTGGAAGGAAAAAATAAGTTTGGGAAAATCTGTACGTCTCAGGGGGGAAAGTTCGTTGAGACTAAGATTTATAAGTCCCAGATAAGATTCTATATTAATCGTAATGAATTGTTTTAGTACACTAAAAATATAAGTGAAATAAGACATGTGGTTTTGTTAATTATCCTCATACATCCAAATAAGTAATACAGCAATAACTTACCTAAAAATATGAGCAGACACGTTAATTTTAACCCAAATATAATATCGCGAAGCGAGTATTACCGGTAAAAAATTGTAACAAAAGTCTCAGTTAATGGCGCTAAGACGATTCATGGCGGAAGGGAAGTCCCAAAAAAAACTACCACAATTGCGCGTGGATTTGGTTTGAAACGCACGAATACTAGGTTGCCTAATATACAACCGACTAATGAATAATAATTCTGCTTCACTTCTTTTTGAATTATTAAATAAGTGTAGATTAAGATTGCACTGTATAAATAAATCAGGGAAAAAGTTAACTGACAGAAATTAATTAGACTAAACTATCGTTTTAGTTACTGTAGAAATTAATTAAAAAGTAATTAGCGAAATCGCATAGTGAATAATGGATATTTAATGTCGTTTCTCTTTTTACGGGTAATATTTGTAACTTGTGTATATAATTTGTAAATAATAAAATAAAAACTCTTTTTACAGGAGAAACTCAAATTTGTTAATATTCCTATCTTTGAACTAATTTACAATAAAAATTAAAGAATAATCTATACATATTTTTCAAAGTGGCAAAAAAGTATAAGTTTTGAAACAGGATTGCCAGAAGGTTTTTTTGGAATTTCACCAGATACCTTTAAAAACGTGTGCGATTTATACCCACCAAGTAGTAAATAGATTAGAGGGGACTTGGTCTTGAACTGTAATGGCGACAACATGTACAGCTTGGCAAATCTAGCTAGAGACGTGGCCTATAGATGCGCAGATGCCAGCTCCTAAAATCGTCATTTGCATTGAGTTTGCCTTAGGATAAAGAACGCTCCGCACAGTGGATTAAAATGAAAGTAAATCAAGTATAAAAAATTTATTAAAATTATCCTGTTTTTTCTACAATGGATCCAATTCGTCCGAACTGTTGTCTTCGCTGGTTACCTCGCTGTCACTATCCCCTTGAAAATTAATAATTAAATCATCGACGACTAAATCCAAAGCCGGTTCTTTCTCCATAAAATAAATTTCAAACTTTATAGCGTGCTGACATTGCTTGGAAATTCTTTTTATGCTACTTAGGCTAACACCATAGGCT